AGGAAAGGCCAATGTGGTGGCCGATGCTTTGAGTAGGAAGTCAGCCAGCATAGGCAGTCTTGCGTATATTCCGATCGGTGAGAGACCGCTTGCTTTGGATGTTCAGGCTTTGGCCAATCAGTTTGTGAGGTTGGATGTTTCTGAGCCCAGCCGTATATTAGCTTGCACAGTTGCTCGTTCTTCTCTATTAGAGCGTATCCGATATTTGCAGTATGATGATCCTCATTTGTGTGTCCTTAGAGACAGGGTGCCGCATGGAGGTGCCAAGCATGTTACATTAGGAGATGATGGAGTTTTAAGGCTGCAGGGTCGAGTTTGTGTGCCTAATGTGGATGGACTTCGAGAGTTGATTCTAGAGGAGGCCCATAGTTCCCGGTACTCTATTCATCGGGCGCCGCTAAGATGTATCAGGATCTGCGGCAGCATTATTGGTGGAAGAGGATGAAGAAGGACATTGTTGCCTATGTAGCTCGGTGTTTGAATTGTCAGCAGGTAAAGTACGAGCATCAGAGACCTGGTGGTTTGTTCCAGAAGATTGAGATTCTTGAGTGGAAGTGGGAGCGTATCACTATGGACTTTGTTGTTGGACTCACGCGGACTCAGAAGAAGTTCGACGCAGTATGGGTTATTGTTGATAGGCTGACCAAGTCAGCGCATTTCATCCCTGTGGCAGTTTCCTATTCTTCTGAGAGGTTGGCTGAGATCTATATCCGGGAGATTGTTCGTCTTTATGGTGTGCCCGTGTCTATCATTTTTGATTGAGGTACGCAGTTTACCTCGCATTTCTGGAGGGCAGTTCAGCGTGAGTTGGGCACACAGGTCGAGTTGAGCACAGCATTTCATCCTCAGATGGACGGGCAGTCAGAGCGTACTATTCAGATTTTGGAGGATATGCTCCGAGCTTGTGTCATTGACTTTGGAGGCTCGTGGGATCAGTTTTTGCCTTTAGCAGAGTTTGCCTACAACAACAGCTACCAGTCGAGTATCCAGATGGCTCCTTATGAGGCTTTGTATGGTAGGCGGTGTCTGTCACCGGTTGGATGATTTGAGCAGGGAGAGGCTCGGTTGTTGGGTATGGATCTGGTGCAGGATGCCTTGGACAAGGTCAGGATCATTCAGGATAGGCTTCGTACAGCTCAGTCCAGGTAGAAGAGTTATGCCGATTGTAAGGTTCGCGATTTTGCATTCATGGTCGGTGAGCGAGTGTTTCTTCGGGTGTCGCCTATGAAGGGCGTGATGAGATTTGGAAAGAAGGGCAAGCTTAGCCCTAGGTTCATTGGCCCGTTTGAGATTCTTGATCGAATGGGAGAGGTGGCTTACAGACTTGCGTTGCCGCCGAGTTTATCAGCCGTACATACCAGTGTTTCATGTGTCCATGCTTCGGAAGTATCACGGCGATCCATCCCACGTGTTAGATTACAGCACTGTCCAGTTGAACAAGGATCTGTCCTACGAGGAGGAGTCGGTAGCTATTCTAGACCGGCAGGTTCGTCAGTTGAGATCGAAGAGTTTCCCTTCTATTCGTGTTCAGTGGAGAGGTCAGCCTGCTGAGGCATCGACCTGGGAGTCCGAGTTCGATATGCGGAGCCGTTATCCCCATCGTTTCTCCGACTCAGGTACTTCTCTATTATGTCTGTTCGAGGACGAACGATTGTTTTAGAGGTGGAGAATGTGATGACCCAAAAAGTCATCACTTGTTTTAGAAATAAATTCAGTGTTCCGAGGCCTTAAAACCTCCTTTTTGTCTCACCTCGATTAGTGTGTGCAGTCCGGGCGCGTATCCGGAAAGCCATTATGTGAAAATTTGTGAAAAATAACAAATTTTTGCCTTCAAAATTAAATTTAAGTTGACTTCGGTCAATATTTTGGGTAAACTGGCCCGGACCTGTGATTTGACGGTCCCGAAGGGTCCATAGGAAAATATGGGACTTGGGCGTATGCCCGGAATCGAATTCCGAGGTCCCAAGCCCGATAAATGAATTTATAAAGAAAATTATTTTCTGGAAAATATATGAGTTTTTGGAGATGAAATATATTTGAAATTTGATGGTATCGGGCCTGTATTTTGGTTCCGGAGCCCGGTACAGGTCTTATATGTGATTTAAGTTGAGCCTGCAAAATTTGGTAAGAAACGGACTTGAAATGACTTGAATCGGACCTTATTTGAGAAAATTGGAAAATTTGATGTTCTTAAGTGATTTCATGATTTTGATGCTAAATTCATAGTTGTTGATGTTATTTTGGTGATTTGATTGCACGAGCAAGTCCGTATGATGCTTTTAGGTTAGTGTGCATGTTTGGTTTGGATCCCCGAGGGCTCGGGTGAGTTTTGGATAGGCCACGGAGTAGAAATTTAACTTAGGATGTTGTAGATCTTTAACAGGTATGTTGCAGGCTTGCAGGCTTCGCATTTGCGAAGCCTGGCTCGCAAATGCGACCAACCCATCGCAAATGCGAGTGGCCCAAAAATTCCCTTCGTCGCAAATGCGACTCCCCCATTGCAATTGCGAACTTTTGTCGCAAATGTGAGAATAGCAGACTTCTGAAGGGTTCGCAATTGCGAACCCTGGCGCAATTGCGACATCAGAGACTAGTTAATTAATACTTAGACGCATTTTCAGCCATTTTTCATATCTTCTCAAAACATAAACTCTCTTGGGCGATTTTTCAAAGAAAATTTCTTCTCCAAATCGATTGTAAGTCGTTTCTAACTCGTTTTCTTCAATCTTTAACATCTTTTCACATGATTTCAACTCAAAATCAAATGTTTTCATGGGGGAAATTGGGTGTTTTGGGTAGAACCTAGGTTTTTCAAATTTTGGGGATTTGGACCTCGATTTGAGGTCCGATTTCAAAACAAATTATATATTTGAGTTCGCGAGTGAATGGATAATCGGGTTTTGGTTCGAACCTCAGGTTTTGACCGTGTGGGCCCGGGGTCGATTTTTGACTTTTTGGGAAAAACTTTAGAAAACTTATTTCCGTGCATTAGAATCGATTCATTTAGCATTTATTGATATAATTAAGTAACTTGTGGCTAGATACGAGCGAATTGGTGGTGGAATCAAGAGGTAAAGCGATAGTTGAGGCTTGAATTATGTTCGAGGCATCGAGGTAAGTGTTTGGTCTAACCTTAGCTTGAGGGATTAGGAGTCGAGTCCTATTTGCTATGTGTTATTTGATGAGTACGACGTATAGGCATGGTGACGAGTATCTATACGTTGGTGTCAAGCATGCCCGTGAGTCTTAAATTGAAATCGTTGTGTTCTTACTAAGTACTACAAATGCCTAAGTTGTTGATACTCTGTGTTGGGCAAGAATCATGATTATTCTCGTGGAAATTGCTTATGGTTGAGTCTTGGTGCTAGTTGAGGTCTCTTTTGTGAAGTTAAATGTTAGAACAAGTTTGGTTATAGCTGATTCCCTTACCGGGACGTAATTATTTCTTACTGTCGATTCCCTTACCGGGATATTGTTGTTCCCTTATTGCTCCCTTGTCGGGATTCTTTGTGATCGGTGTTGAATTGTATATTGGGATCGGGTTGCACGCCGCAACAATATTATATGGATCGGGTTGCACGCCGCAACAATATTATATGGATCAGGTTGCACGCCGCAACAATATTATATGGATCGGGTTGCACGCCGCAACAATATTACATGGATTGGGTTGCGCGCCGCAACAGTGAAATATGATATGGATCGGGTTGCACACCGCAACAGTGAAATATGACATGGATCGGGTTGCACACCGCAACAGTATTTTTTTTACGATTTGGATCGGGTTGCGCGCCGCAACAATAAAGAATAAAAGTGGATATTGATTTGTTACTGTTCCCTTATTCCTTCTGCTGCGAATTTTAAATTGTTCTTTATGCTTTTCTACTGAGTTATTGTTGGTAAATGATACCCCCCCCCCCACAGCATGTCCCCTTCCCATCTTAAATTGCTAGTTTACCTTATTATTACTTGCTATATATATGATTTAATTGCACAGGTTTATTTGGTAGTCTGGTCCTAGCCTCGTCACTACTTCGCCGAGGTTAGGCTAGGCACTTACCAGCACATGGGGTCGGTTGTGCTGATACTACACTCTGCACTCTTTTGTGCAGATCCCAGTGCTTTAGCTTACGGACCGTAGTGAGATTGCTGTTTCTTGTTCATCAGGCGACCCGAGGTAGTCCTGCAGGCGTCCGCAGGCCTTGGCGTCTCCTTCTATCTTTTATTCCTGTTTCTTTCATGTATTTCTAGAGACAGTGTTGTATTATTTCTTTCAGACCTTTATTTGTAGTACTCCTAGACAGTCTGTGAAGTTGTGACACCAGTCTTGGGTAGATTTGTTATGGATTGGTATTAGCAGTTTTATTAAAACTTTACAATTCAGTCTTCCGCTTATTAAATTATGTTGCTATTTAGATGTGGTTCTTAATTGTTAACGGATTAAAAATGGAAACAAGGTAAATAATTCAATTGGTTGGCTTGCCTAGCTTTCACTAGTAAGCGTCATCACGACTCCCGAGGGTGGGAAGTCCGGATCGTGATACTTTCACACGAGATTATACACATCATAGTTGCTTTTTGTTTAAGCGATTAGGTAGGTGGCTATTTAAGTTAATTTTTCTGCATCAAAAGCATCATATTTACTGCTTTCTGGAGTAATTGGTTGATCTACCACAATTACATAGGTAATAAAGAGGAACATTTCTTCAGCTTCCAAAACAGAATATCACCTTAGATTATTACCCTTACACATGGCCAACCATCCAAACATGCACAAAATGTAATATTTAATTTAGTCGTGAATCTCCATTATAAACAGATTATGTCTTACCTTATTATTATTCATGCCGACTGTTCCGCTTCTCCAGCTGCAATCTCCTTCTGTTCCGCTTCTACAGCTAAGACCACCTCAGAAAACCATGTACTTAGCATTCAAAAATTTTATGACAATGTACATTAAATAAATACAAATTATTAGTGACTTTGTAGGCCTAATATGTAGCAGCTTACCAAATTCCAAGAAATGCTCATGTTACTATCATATGCTTGATAAGATTCTTATTCCAAACACCATTATATTTCCTTCATTTTCCTTATAAGTTACATTACTAGAGTCATTTTTATTATTGCCCCATCAAGAAAATATAGAGTTTCCTTTCAAGAAAATAAAGAACAAAAGCAATGCCTACTTCTTCAAAATCTAACCATTTTCGATCGATTAGTTTGCCTGGAAGATCACAATCTAACCATGTTAGATCGATATGTTTGCCTGGAACGTCGTATCAAACTACTGAACGAGTTAAACAGGCGATCAATGATCTACAAAAGTTGGAAATATCAACTGCGTCAACAGCAGAGATTATGTACAATGGTTTACTTGGTGTAGAGGAGTTATATAAGTGCATGAATGAGTTACTTAACTTGCCTCAAACACTTCAAGCATTTTCCCAATATCGACTTGGGAAAATGGTTGAAAATTTATTGGATAAATCCGTCAGGCTTCTTGATCTTTGTGGAACAACAAGGGAACTTGTTTCACAATATAAAGAAAATGTAAGAGACCTTCAATCGTCACTCAAAAGGAGGAAAAAAGATTCAACAACAGAAACCAGCATAGCCAAATTCACCTCTTTTAGTCAGAAGATTAAGAAGGAAGCAAAAAGATTAGTCTTGGTATTAAAGCAAATGGATCAAGAAGCCGAGGGTGGATTTGTACCAAAAGATGCTGATCAGGACACAGTAGATATGATTAAAACACTAAAGGAAGCTAATGCAATGCGCATTTCTATTTTCCAAATGTTCTTGTCTTTCTTGTCTGTGCCACTTTTGAAGCCAAAGTTATCTAAATGGTCATTGGTTTCAAGATTGGTAAATAAGGGAAGATTAGCATGTGAAGTTCAAGAAGAGAAAATGAACTTGGAAACTAGGTTGGAATCATTTGAGGGTCATCTTGACAACTTTGAAAATGGATTGGAAGGAATATATAGGTGCATGAGTAGATCAAGAAGCTCTCTCTTGAATATTTTGAAGGAACTTGGATTCAGTACGCCGATGTGGTTCAACTTGGAATTATGTAGAGAGAAAAAAGAGACGGCCGTTGAAAAACTACTCGGAGAGTTATGTCTCTTCAGAAAAAGTCCTAATGTTAGAGCTCCTTATTATATAGGTAGACATTCTTTTTCTTAAATTTTTTTTTTTAAAAAAAACGCCCTCTCCCTCTTTCTGCAAAAAGTCTCTTCTTCCTATGTACTTCAGTAATTCTAAGAAGAGAAGAACGACGCGATCTTCTACGAGACATTTGGAACGATCTTCTTTATAGGTACGATCATAAACTGTTAACTTATGCAGTGTAATATGTGTTTTGAAGCATGTGGTTGCACTATTTGAGTAGTGAAATAAATACGGTAAATCTTGGGAAACTGTGTGTTCTTGATTCATATTTTTCCTTTATTGGTATCAGAGCCAGGTTATTTGTTTCCTAGTTTATGACTAAAAGGGACGGAAGAACAACCTTCATTTGATGAATGTTACAGTGATATATGATCAATCTTTTTATTAAATTGACGCGTTGTCACTGTTCGAATGAAAATTGTGTAATGGTGACATCCGAATTGCTGTATTCCTTCTTTCAAATTATTGTTCATAGCATTTTGAATAATTTTATGACATTTTAATTTGAATACACTCAATTTTTTATTTTTTTTGGTTGAAACTTAGTTTGTGGTGACATGATTCTGCAAAATATGAGGCAACCTTCTTTTTCTTTTCCTTGCAAAACATCAGTGTAACAAGGTAGAGAATTAAGGTGAACACATTGTACAAAATGAAAGAATGTTTAGACCTAAGAAATTCTATTGTTTGTCATCATCATCGTCATCGTCATGTTTTGAGGGTCTATACTGCTGAACAACAAGAACTGAACCGCTAATATCAAATTCTGGAGAAGCCAAAAAATCGCCTACTTTACCAAGCTCAGGACATTCTTCCCAATCACTCATTCCTGTTGTTAAAATCGAATGCCCTCGCCCATCCTTTCCTACTATGAACAATGAGTACATTTCAGCCATGTCTCTCAAGGCAGATGCCGTCTCTGCACCACTTTCTACAACCTTCTCGACGTACCCTACTTGACCTGTCACCACATACCTGATCATTTCAAAGTTGCTGTCAATTATCACACCAGAATGAGAATAATCAACTTAACATATACTACCTATATTCGGATTTAAACATTTTATAGAGTGAAAAGGTGACAAGGTTCTTATTACCTGTTATGAAACTCTGTCAAAACTGCATTATCTGCTTCTTTCTCTACTTCGTCATTTGATATTGCCATCAAGACATCATCCGTCTTGTGGGCAATATTGACGCCTGCAATTTGTCCTCTTGAAGACGCCGGAAGGAACCTAATTATGGTGAGATTTACGTGATGATCCATGCCAAGCCGTTTACTAAAGCCTAGTGCCTCACGATCATCAGGTCCACCAAAAAATAAGATAGCGATGTGCTGCAGAGAGTCAGAACCCGAAGGATTTAAGGACCCGGCTGTAAGTCCACGGTCAATAAGAATGGCAACTGAACATGGCGCATGACGAAGAACTTTCTGATTTGTAGTTCGTATACCTTGTTTCCCGTTTTCTAGCTTCCCATCGATTCTCTGGTGTTTGTGGAAAGGAAGAACGACGATAGATGCTCTTATGTCTTCAGCATTGTTACAAATATCTGCATGCATACGTGAAAAGGGAGATACCGCTTTAATCTGATGAACAAATAACCCTGTCTCACTAGTGAACATATCCACAGCGTCATTTATCTCAACAACATCATTCCCACCATAATCATCTTCATCGCTTAGTTCATCTTCTTCTCTTTGATTGTACATCAAATTAGTCTTTTTTTTACCTGGGAGCTCAACCAGATGCATTAAGTAAGGGGTTATTGGAACATCTCTTGGCCCTCTGGAGGCTGCAACAAGTCCTAACATAGTTGCCACTGGTCGCGGACTATGCACACAAGCAAGTATTCGTAGTTCGCTTTCTGGATTTTGAGATTCAAAATGTATTTGCCTGTAACCAATAATATCACTTTCTCTTCTCACCATGAAAGCTACTATTGGTCCCCATACCAATGTATTCACAATAATTGTTGCAATCATCACGTCGTAGAAATTCTGGCTCAAAACAAGCTGCAAATTTGAGCACTCTTAGTTTCACGTTAGTAACAGGCAAAAGAAAGCAGTAATCTAATGTAAGCAAGTAAATCGCAGCATTATTATTTTTACAAGGTATAAAACAATATATATGCTTCAATCTGTTCTTGGAAAGGAAAACTTACATCATCCGTCAAGCCAATTGTCAACGCAAGCATATCAACATGACCTTTTAGGTTCATCATAAATGCCAAAAGCACCCCTTCTCGATAAGGAATCTTTAGGTGGAAGCAAGCTGCCAGTGTTCCAACAATCTTCCCTCCAATGCTCGACAAAATAAGGATACAGAATACCATGAAATTACGAAGATTTTTCAGCTTAGTCACATTTGCCCTGAAACCATGGTTGCCAAAGTAGATTGGAAATATGAAATTGTGAATTGGATATGTGAGTTTGATCAACAATGTCCGAGCTGCTTTGCCTCCTCTAGGAAACATTGAGCCAATGAGGAAAGAAGCTATGATGCTGCTGAATCCAAAATGTTCGAGTGCCATAGCAGCGACATAGAGAATCGCTAGAAGTACAAATATTTCAGCATTTCTAAGGTACTTTTGGTTCCTATTCCTCCTATTCAACCAATTAGCGAGATACATATTGATTACAATAACTATACCGACAATAATAAAATAGAGGAAAAAGAAAAAGATCCATTTTGCAATTGATGTTGACTTGTATTCTGAAAGTATAAACAATAGAATCACCGCATATGCATCGGCTATCAAGGAAGAAGATATAGCCAACCGTCCAGTCTCAGAAGTTGAAAACTTAAGGTCTGCTGCCACACGAACCACGATCGGGGATGCTGCATTCGCTAACGTTATTATGATCATTAAGGACATCATGAATGAAGAACCACGGGAAGCTGTCTCTTGAAATACTAAGAAAGTGACAGCAGCTGCAAAGAAAGTACATGCTAAACTGCTGCCACATGCAATAATGCTCGCTGGACGTATGTTGCGCATTAGATAAGGGAAGTCCGTCTCAAGACCAATCAGAAACATGATTATAGTTCTAAAAATTAACGCCATGAATTCATAGTAACCCGAAGCGTAACTTTGAATGAAGAATTTCTCTACTGCTTTGATCCGTGAAAAACCCGAGGGACCCATCAAGAACCCCGCCTGTGTAATGAACCACATAAAAAATGTAAGAACAAGAAACAACTCACCCATATGTCCAATCAAAAACAAAGTTATCAATTTGGAAATATCTTGTCACTGTGCACTCTAGGAAATTTTAACTCTTTAATAAATAGCAGGTCATATAGTCCAGCATACTTGTGTCAAAAATGCAACATTGGGCCATAAAATCTTTTTAGCTATAAAGAAGTCTTTTTTCCCTCCATTTTTTTTAGTGACGGTGATGTCCGGACCAGTTTGTGCGTACCTCGACTATTCCACGGGTACCTGCAACCTCCAACCAGCACAGGTACCGGTTAACTTTACCCATAGGTCCGGGGCAGCCTGCAGGCGCCTCGACTATTCCCTCAATTTCGTGTGTTTCTAATCTAAGTCTAAATTGATTAGAACTTTAAAAATTAACCAAAAATAAATTAAACAAATAGCTAGCACTACAAGATCCCTATTTCATGTAATAGACAAATCTTGAACAAACTATAGAATAAAAACAGTGATCCTACATATTTGGGCAATCAGATTTAACATATATTACAAGAACTATACATGCACACAATGTATTCGTATAAATGTTTGTGTGAAGATGACATACTTACGAGAATTTGAACAAAGGGTGAAGCTTGGCCTAAGGGCTTGAGCAAAATCTGCAGAACATGAGAGATCACAAGAATGCCAGAATACTGCAAACCCATGCTAATAATTGGGTTGACCAATTCATTATTGCATGAGGCTTGTTGCTCTGTGCCAGCCATTTTCTTGGAAGGAGAATAAAATGGTTAATTACAAGAATTTTGTTATTTGAAGAAGCATTTTCATGGTAATAAAAGAGAGTAAAAAAGGGCTACAAGGATGAGAAGGGAGGGATGAAAAGGGACAGAATAATGCTGCTAGTGATAGCTTTTCCTCCCCCACCACCTTCTTCCTTGGTCCTTTGCTGCTGAATATTTTTTCTCTGTTTTTTCTTTGTTTGAACCATTTGTGTAAACCGAAAGAAGTGCGAAAACAAGGTGGTGGATTGCTAGTATTTTTTTGTTTCTTGGTTTCGACCGTTATTAGCGGATGAATCTCTATGTGTTTGTTTTGTACACAGATTACAACTTATTTAAATAAGTTAACTTTTAAAAAATTACATAAAATATAATTTATATTAAAATTTACAACTTTTAATATTCCTAATATATCTTTCTTAAGATTCTCTCACCTAAAACACGTATCCTTATATCTCTCTTGAGATTTTATCTCACAACTACTTATCCCTACATAAAACGTATGCTCTTTTTAATTTTTCAAAAAATTTCCTTTTCTCTCTCTTCTAGTTTTTTAATATGATGCCATGGATATGAGACGGTAAAGTATTAAAGTTTTACCCTCACAGACATTGTCATGTTGCTATTCCATGATTCTTTGCTATTAGACAGCAATATTTTAAAAGGCGGGGGCGAGAAGCGAGACGTTTTACCTCAGACGAGGCGAGGCGTAAGCCCTGAGACATGGGACGTAAGTCCACGGATCTTTAAATTTCACTAATTTTAAGATAGTACAAAATAAAAAATAACTATAAAAATTACATCAAAATTACAAATTATAACAAATAATCTATTTAAAATATTTATAAATTATAATTCGACAATGAATAATACGAAAAGTATGACATATATCATAATATGCAAATTAGTTGCAACGTCGTTACAATTCAAACATCAAAAGTAATGTATTCGATATGAAATCTTATATGTATCTCTTAAGGAGTAATAAATCTTGAAAGAATTTCAATATTATAATTTGATATTTTACGTAAAATACTCCTTTTATTTAATATGATTTCTATTTGAAATAGAATTTATGTAAAAACATAATTCACAATTTAAATTTGATTCTCTAGCATCATTTATTTTTAAGTTTTAACAAGTTAATCAATTGACACATAATTCATCATACAATATCATGATAACTAAATATTTGTAAATAGTTACTAGCTAATATTGACATATTAAATTAATAAGTACTGTATCTTGTTATTGTGAAAAAAATAATATTTAGAAAAATAATTATAAAAAAAATTATGGACTATTAATAGTAAAGATATAGCAAAAATTAATAAATAAATACTTTCGAAAAGAAAGATTTATTTAAAATTTACTATCATAGCAGTCTTACTAGATAACGTGCAATAATTTTTATTTTAATTATGACATAAAATACTCTCAACTTAATGATTTTATGAATAAGAAAAAAGTAATTTTGAATAGTCAACGATTTGGTAAGAAAATTTGAGGATTTACAAGTTTAGTTACATACAATTGCATAAAGTTCTATAGGTGAGCCTAGTACCTTGGGCGTTGGGCGCGGCCGGGGCGTAAGCCCCGGTGGCCGAGGCGTAAGTCTCACGGAACTAAGACCCACACATAAGCCCAAGGGCGTTTTACGAGTGCTCCGCCCCGGACGAGTCCTAATTCTGCATTTTAAAATAGAGTTAGACAGTATAATTTGAATATTGCTTATTGATAGTATCATAAACTCATCTTGAAAATATGTACCTCTCTATAAAATTATAGAACTTCTAAATTATTCTCCTTTAGATAATATCCATACACTTCTTCAAAGATCTTGACAACCCTTATGTTATTGTCTTTGACAAAACACGGGGAAAAATGTTGCTTGAAGAGTTTGACATTAATTGAAGATGGCTATATATATATATATATATATATATATATATATATATATATATATATATATATATATATATATATAGTATACTTAATATATTATATGTAAGGTATATTAATGATATATACTTGTTAATTACACGTACACAATATATGTATATTACAGTAAATGTAATTGGCATATTAACTGCATATATAAATATATTGTATGTATATAAGTATGTGATATAATCTATTTATATATGTATATAATATAATTATATACCATCAATATATCATTATTTATAGGATATATGATTTTTTGAAACTGATTTTAGCAGATTTGTTATTGATGGTCTTTATATAATATTTACTTTATTTTCACCAAAAAAAATAATATTGAAAAAGTTAACTTATGAGTGAAGACACTAATTTTTAGAAGGAATAAAACAAAATGCCGAAAAAGATGATGAGAGATTACTATTAGGAAATGAGTGATTATTTTGATAAGTTTCCCACTCTTTTAGGCTTAAAATATGGCATTATTCAGTTGTTTCGGTTGGGTTTTGCCAACTGTGATATAGATAGGAGAAAATCTTTTGTTGTATATAATGTAAATTTGCAAATGGTTGTAATAAATGTTATTTATTCTTATAGGCCTTGTAGATAGGAAAATTTCCCCAAAAAGCTACATGGCTGCATGCTAGATAGGGGTGTAAAAATGAGCGCGTCGGGCGGGAATGACCCAGGTAGCCACTTTTAACTATGCTGTTTAAAATAGGAAAATTTTCGTTCCTATACCATATAGGAAACTATATTACCAAATTTGTTCATAGTTTGCATATTACTCTTCATGCTAATAGTATTTCTACAAAATATAGATCATGCATTAAATAAGGAATCATTGTAGCTGTAATCTTCCTTATTTAGGCGCTAAAATTGGGGGATTAAATATTCTTCCAGATCTTCCAAACGCAAATCACGCACATTAATCTTCTTCGTCAGTTTCGTTTCAAATTTAGTGTCTCTACATCAAACGCAATTATTCTTCTACAATTCAAAAACGAATTGATTATTCTTCTACAATTCAAAAACGAATAGATTATTCTTCTACAATTCACAAATCAAAAACGACTAAATCTTCTACAGTTCTTCTACATCAAACGCAATTATGTCCAAATTTCAGTAATACAAAGCAAAGGAAAGGAGAGCAGCAATTCCACCATTGACAGCCATTAAAAAGTTTGAAAGCTTTGAATTCAAATTTGGGTTTTCAAAAATCATTATTTGTTTGGATTGAGTGTTGTTGAAAATAATTGGGAATATGGTTTGGAGTTTATATCTCAATTTTGAGGGGTTTTGGTGAAGATTAGACTTAGTTTTGACTGAATTTCAGATTGAAACTCGAAGAAGAAGAAGAAGAAGACATATATTACAGAAATTGTAGATAAATTGAAGAACAATTGTAGACTGTTGTTTATTTATTTTTCTTTTATTCATTTACTTATTGTATGAAAGTTGAACAATATTTATTTAAGTGGATGATTTAGTACTGTTTTGGACAAAAATATGTATCAAAAATGTGAAACATACATTTCAGGGGAAGCATGTTGAGTCCAAATATGTACCCAGTTTGTAGATATTTTGTAGATAAATTATAGATTATTTGTATTCTGATTGTAGCTGCTTTATTTTTTATTTTCACAAATAAAAAAATGACTAAAACTTCTACAAATCTTCTAAAAAAACGTAATTATGTCAAAAATCTCAATTATGCTGCAATCGAATGTGAATTGGGATATTAAAATTCAATGTACCCAGTTTGTAGATATTTTGTAGGTAAATTATAGATTATTTGTATTCTGATTGTAGATGCTTTGTTTTCTGTTTTCACAAATCAAAAACGACTAAAACTTCTACAAATCTTCTGCAAAAAGCGCAATTATGTCGAAAATCCCAATTATGCTACAATTGAATGAGAATTGGGATATTAAAATTCAATGTACCCAGTTTGTAGATATTTTGTCGATAAATTGTAGATTATTTGTATTCTGATTGTAGATGCTTTGTTTTTTATTTTCATAAATCAAAAACGACTAAAACTTCTACAAATCTTCTGCAAAAAACGCAATTATGTCGGAAATCCCGATTATGCTACAATTCTGTGATTCTCCTATATGCTCTTGTTACTTCTTACGAAACTGCTATACTAAATATGAAATCCAAAAAAACATGATGAAGGGATAGATCTTCTTAAGAAATTTTGTAGATAATTTGTAGAAACATTGAACTTATTCTAAAAATTCACGCCTCTTTAAATACAATACAACCATACTTTCTTGAATTTAAAGTTTTAGCAATATATATAACTTAAAAAACATCTTCTCCTCTGCACAAGTTAGCTCCAAAACAGACGAAGTGGAATAACAAGCTCCCATCAAAACTTTTAACACAAAAACACAAAGCTCAAAAATAAATAAACAACAGTTTACAATTTTTCTATAATTTCTGCAATATACGTCTTCTTCTTCTTCTTCTTCTTCGACGAATTTTAATCTGAAATTCAGCCAAAATCAAGTCTAATCTTCACCAAAACCCCTCAAAATTGAGATATAAACTCCAAACCATATTCTCAATTATTTACAACAACACCCAATCCAAACAAGTAATGATTTCTGAAAACCCAAATTTGAATTCAAAGCTTCAAAGCTTTTTAATGGCTGTCAATGGTGGAATTGCTGCTCTCTTTTCCTTTCCTCTTATATTACTGAAGGAACCCGAAATCATAACCATCAGAAGTTATTACTGTGTATGAAACTTTGAAGATTTGACTTCAATTTTGACTGGTTGTAGAAGAAAAAACCTTGATTTTGGACGTTAATGATAGAGGGTTTCAATTGTTTTTCTGGATTTAACAGAGGGTTTCAATTGTTTTTCTGGTTTTTCTGGTTTCTGGGTTTGTGGTGATACGTGGGTGAGGGTGTGGGGTTGGGAGAGAGAAACGTGGGGGGATGGGGATTTGGAGGAATATACGGTACCATAAATTTAGGAGTGATATAAGGTACAATTAATGTACAGTTAAAACACCTTATGGCATAGAATTGGTAATTAGGTATACTAAATATAATTATATCAAACCTTAAACATTGAGGGTAATATAGTTTCCTATATGGCATAGGAATGTAAAAAGTCCTTTAAAATATACTTGCAGTTTACAATATATTTAAATATTAGCCAATTAACTCAAACTTAAGGACACGGTGTCTTGAAGTTTAAACCTCAAAGTTCAAACTTCAGGACAACGTATACTAAAGTTCGAAAATCGTATCCAGAAATTCGAATTTTATGTCCTAAATTTTAAATTATCAGTTTAGAAATTCAAGACACTTAGTCCTAAATTTTAA